TTCCTTCATAGGCATAAATGTTTCGGGTCTTTTCTGACACAGTGTTTTACCAAAATGCAGACCCAGACGTATATATTAGGAATCCCCCTGTGAAGCACTTTTGCAAGTTGACGTGGGTGTCGACCAAAGTCTGCAACACAACGTCCAAATGACGTTTGTACATGTCATCTCCCCCAATCGTTACCCCACTGTAAGCGAATTCATTGCTAAAGCAGCGAGATGCGTAGCCACAGTGTGTACGCGTCACATGAGTAAACAGCGGTAAAGGTCGCGGTTTTTTTAAATGTTGCGGCATCACTAGCCACTCCCACAGCATACTGCTTGGGGGTGCCAACTTTCGCTCTGGCTACATCGGTCTCATTCATGAGTACCTGATAGTAACTACATTTAAAAACAAGGCAGAAAAAGAGCATCACTCCCCCACTGAGTTCAATAGGAGATCTTCTCGCGGGATCGGTGTTTACGCTGGAATGGTGGCCGTGTCCAGCTTATTGTAAGCGTAAAATACGTGCCTTACACCAGCTGCCTTACGCACAAAAAGGTAGGACTGCTGTGAGGCGACTTTCTCTTATGTAAACGTCCCGCCTAGGCTCGCTTTTCGAATAACTGGTTGATGTATCCGACCACTTCCTGGTCACACAATACTTGGTACCATCTTCTAAGTCAATATCGTGCCGTAATTCCTATAGGCCTGTAAGCAATTCTTCACTTCTGTAGTGAAGAAATCACTGCGCTCGACAGATCTTCGCGAAACGTACTGCTTTTGAAGGTGTCCCAGCCTAAAGCAGCGAATTACGTTGTCTTGTTGGTCTGCAAGACACTCTTGTATGCTGTGCATGAAGAGCAACAGTCCACCTAGTTCTCTTTTAGAACTGGTGCTACTATCTCGTGGACCTTTTCTTCAGTTTGGACAGAAATAGATCCCACTTGATCTGCAAGATTTTAATTATATTCTCAGTAGAACCCGAGGAATGCTAGAGCACCTCCGTAGAGAATGCTTCCAAAATCTATTCTTCGACGGCCCCGAGCATTTCGTTCGTAGGTTTGTCCTCTTGTATCGAGGCTGATCCAAAGGTTAATCTTTTCGACGTGCCTTTAATCGTCTTTACAATTCATATGGAGCGTGTCACACGTTGCACCACGACATTTTTTGACTTAAAATTAGCTATTGATGCGGTTAGATCTAGCACATCCCTCACAATTGCACCAGGCCCTTAGCTCGGTGCCAGTTCCTACGACTCTTGACCTACTTTCAGCTCTTCATTAACCAAACCAGACTCATAGAGTGGTTAGTACTTGGTGACGTGCGACTCACTGTCAACGCACCCTTGACTGCATGAAACACAGCATCAGTTAAGTTTTCCTCTTGCCCGAGCACATCTTTACCGGTGTTTTGAGTAGATCTAGCTACTGTGCGTGTTCGCCAGTCTATCCATGACTGATGCTTTATTAGCCAAGACATGCCTAGGATGAGGTCATAAGGACTTTTCATGCCTGGCACTATGAAATTCTCTTTGCACGAGAAGTCACTAAAGCTGATGGCGAGTTCAACATGAACTCCCTCTGATTTCACTACCGTGCCGTTTGCTACACGAACGGTCTCTTCTTTACGCTTGTCATCTCGGCAAAGTGCCTCATCAACCGTCAGACTATTTTCAGAGCCTCAAGCTTTGCAAAGTTCTGTGATGCACCTGTATCTCCGAGAAGGTTCATCACCTGGTCCTAGCCTCACACTCGAATACTGTAACCAGCGTGTTCAGGGACCATGTTTTTGGTACCTCGCGGACTATGCTACTCATTTGTACAACAACTATGAGCAATAGGGTAGCTTCAGGGTCCGCGTCAGTAGGGCAGATGTAAGAGGGTAAGGGCCCGTTACCGTCTTACACTATATCTTAAAGCTGAGGAAGCGCTCTAATTTATAAGGTAAATTTAACTCTGTTTTTATTTTGTGTTTTATAATTCTCAGAAAGTGCGAATATGTTCCCTAGCTCATGGGAACCACTCAGATAAAGAACTAATCATTATTGGCTAATTATTGAGTCCGGCACCCCAATAATAAGCCAATAATAAATAGACGCGCAGTATCCGCTATCCGGATACTGCCTGCACAATATACATGTATTTATGTATGACTACTTAATATCATGGGTTGCCCCATTACAGCAAACTTCCCCTTCTGAGCTAAAGCACTAGGTATCGGACCCGCACTTCAAGACGCTGACAGCTAGCGCATCTCTTGCATATATTCTTGCAGGGATCGCTGCACTTGTCGCGAGCTAAGAAGAGCGCCTGAAGCAACACTTACTTGTTCGGCGACTGATACATGGCGCTAAACTTTGTTTTAAAGACCGACCATGATGGGAACGCTTTAGTGTCGGCCATAAGCGCTTAGTAAGCCCATTCTGAGGCTTCACCCCGCAAATGGTACATAGCGCACAATACCCTTCTAATTTATCTTCTTCAGTAATCTGCGCCATTCCACGTTTCTATGCGGCTAGAATCCAGTGTACAATAGTGAGGGCGGCAGTGCCATCAAATATAGAAGGGTTCAACTTGATAGACATAGGATGAATAAAACAAGTCGAGAGAGAATCAACAGTTACATTGACCGCCTCGTTCCAAGCCTGATCGCGCAGATACTCATAATGAGTCTCAATGATTGAGTCCGTCACTGAAAGGTGTTGTGACTCGAACGCAGACATCCGATATCCGAGCACGGACTTCTCAAACTGTTCCAATTGAGGAGCGTGTTGCTCTTGTGGGCAACTCAACAAATTAGCTAGGGCTTTGACACCAAGTTCCTGCGCTATGTGTTCATCCACAATCATCTGATGTTAGGAGAAGAAGGGATATTGAGCCCAATTAACATTGAGGTCATCTTCACTGACACTCTGACAGAGAGACGGGTTTTGGAAAGGACTACGAGTGCTACCATGTGTAGGCGGGAGCTTAAAGCTGTCAAGTAATACTTACAAACCTTCAGGCACCTGTGAGGAAACGGTTTCGCCGCCTTCTCTTATGTGCAGCTAGGTTCGGGAGGGCGTCTTACGACTGCCTCATCGATATATGAACGCTTGTTGTTCGTTGTGGCTCGGAAGTTGATTCCCGACCTCCGGCATACACGTTACGAAGGTTGCAAATAAGAGACTGATTTCTATTCAATGAATAAAACGGAAATCTCAATTGTTATTGGCTAAACGAAATAAGATCAGACGTGCGCAAAACGAGACGCCGTCTCTACAGCGCGCTTGAACTCAATGCAAGCGCGCTGATGACTTACCGCAATCAAGTCATGTACCGACTTCGAGTAGTGACATCATCAGTGTGTGACACACACTTTGTGGTAGGTACGCAATTGCTGTACCCCAACCACATGAAAATTATAATTGCGTAACGCATTTAGAAACTTTCTCTTTCTTTTCCGTGCCTTTATACGGAAAGTCTCGTGCAACTGATCGATCCCGTTACATGTATGCTGGTGTAACGGAGTGAGCCTGTTACATGCAATTAATCTTGATACACGTCTATCACAATATTATCATAGATGTTGTTGATAAAGTTCGTGAATATTACCATAAGGCGTAACATTCAAAAGCACTTTCCGATTGGCTGATATGAGACATCATATCAGCCACCTCTAGCGGTTCAATTAACGATAGGGGCGCAATGGCTGGTGAGCAAGACTTAAGCATACACTTTTGCAGATTAACATAATTCAGTTAGGACTAAAATAGGTACATGTAATTAGGCCTTAAATATTTTTAATACAGTTTTACTTTCTACTCCTATTGAACGCGTCCTTTATTAGCTAGCTCTTCTTTGCACGTACAGTGTACGTGAAGTGACGCGCGACACTACCTACACTGTTGTCAGAGTAGGTGCACTTATACTGAAGCATTACTAGTGACAAGTGCCCCGTTACAGCTGGAGTAAAAGAAGCCCGCGAGCAAGAGCAGCGCGAGCCAGATCACGATCGCGAACTCAAGCGGCGTTCCACCGCTATGCAGAAGGTATAACCACGTCCTTCGAAGATGCAAACATTGCTGATTTATTTTGCATGAAGGAAGTGCGGACGATATGTACCGCAAGAGGGAACATGACGTTGCTGCGTATTCAATGGCTGTGCGCTCCTTTACGTCTGGTCACCTTATACACCCCTTCGACGTCACTCTGTCGTGCTATGCGTCTGTGATCTCATCCTGTGCGTTTTGTCTGGCCTTTTCCGCTCAAAACAACAGATTTTTTTATCACGTTTGACGCATACTACGATTATTTCCCGGTTTGTAGCCGGGTCTTACATTAAAGAAATTTTAAGCGTGTGCCATCTAAATTGAAGAGCCATGAATGTGTCCTTTGCTGACGTGCACTTGACCCTAACGAGCTTATTAGACTCCATCAATTTTTGTGAATATCCTTTTGGGAAAAGCAGTGTTACAACATGGACGACGGTGCGTAATACCAATCGATACTTTCCATACGATGATTCTACATGAGCTGTAAAATACACCTTGTTTTGGTTGCAGGAGGTGGAAATAGTAAAAATGGGGGGTGAAAGTCATCGTTACCCTTTTGTTTAAAGTGCAACGACACCATTCAAACTTATTTGAAACGCTTTAAAATCCAATTACTTTTTTAATGGATGGAGTAAAGGCTCATGAGCGAAAAGTAAAGGCTCATTCGCAGCAAGCAGTTTGACAAAATTTAGAAATGCACCAGCAGATGAGGTGAATACCGTTTCTAAACCTTTCGAAGGAGCCTGACCCTGTCGGTTTCACGCGACGACCCAATTGCATGCATGAAACGCCTGCATTCAGCTCATACCCATTTTGTTTAAACTGCACACTTACTTCACACCTCGCTGTCAGACACACGTTGCTAAAAAGCTGCTTTTTTCTCAGCCCATCGCAACGTCGTGCCTCAGTCGTGTGCGTGTTCACTCTGTCCCACTAGAGTGTCCCCGCCGCCCGCCCGCGCGCTCGTCCGCCGCTTCTCCCGCCATGTCGCTTTTCTCGCGCCGGAAAACGCCCGACCAGTTGGTGAAGCTGCTGAAGGAAGCGCTAGCGGATCCGTGGGCTCCTGCCAAACCGTCCAAGGACGGAACAGTGCGTTGCTGCGTGTGAAATGAGTGGCACGCGGGGTGTCTCTCCCGTAAAACGGTTTTTTTTTGCTGCTGCTGCTCTAAAAAACAGCTTTTTGTATCACGCAGACCGTGGAAGAAATCACCAAGCGCCTGAGTGAAATAAAGCTGCTTTTGTACGGCGACGGAGAGCAGGAGGTCAAGGTGGAGAAATGTGCGCAGCTAGCGGAGCTGCTCATTGCGAGCCAACTCGTTCCGAAACTCGTCTCGGAGCTGGACAAGTTGCCATTCGAGGCGCGCAAGCAACTCGCGCAGGTATATAACAACCTCATGCGTCGCGACCTCGCGGGTTTCGTGAGCTACGTGGAACGTCAGCCGGAGATCCTGTCGGTGCTCGTAGCTGGGTATGAGAACCCTGAAGTGGCTCTCAACTGCGGGACCATGCTACGTGAGGTACATTGGGCTGCTGCGAGTGCAACTGGGTGGGGTCTTGTATTGGCGCAAGTGATTGACTGATTTGTGCATCCTCTTGCAGTCCATTCGGCATGAAATCGTGGCGGGCAAGATACTGTACTCTTCCGATCTGTGGAAGTTCTTCGACGTGTATGTCCACCTGCCCAATTTTGAGGTTGGCTCGGACGCGTTTGCGACGTTCAAGGACCTGTTCACGCGCCACAAGACACTGGCTGCTACGTTCTTCACGTCCAATTTCGATGCGGTCTTTTCGAAGTACAATAGTCTCTTGATGTCGGAGAATTACGTCACCCGGCGGCAATCGCTGAAGTTGCTGGGCGAGATCCTGCTTGATCGATCCAATTTCGACATCATGATGAAGTACATTGGGTAGGTTGTGTGCAGACACGGATGAAAAGTTGCAGGAAGGGGCAGGTGATTGACATGGCGTCTTTGTTCGACAGGGAGAAGGAGAATTTGAAGATGATGATGAACCTGCTGCGTGATACGAGCGCGAACATCCAGTTCGAGGCGTTTCACGTGTTCAAGGTCTTTGTGGCGAACCCGAAGAAACCTGAAGCGATCTCCCAGATCCTCGTGAACAATCGCGAGAAACTTATCGCGTACTTGAAGAACTTCCAGAATAACAAAGGTACACGACACTACTGCTAGTAGAGACGAGTCACATGTTGACATTGGTGACGTTCTGTTTGTTGTGGTGTGTGTCGTCGATCGATCGATGTAGAGGATCCGCAGTTCATTGAGGAGAAGGCATTACTTATCAGGACGCTGGAGGGGCTGAAGGTAGGTGAGGCTGCCAGTGAGACAGCAGCTCAGTCTGCCGCGCTCCCACAGTGATCATCCCGCCCGTATCGTTGCTTTTTCTGCGCGGAGAGTGGTGCCACTGCATGAGTCTTTCTAGCAGGCGTGCCGCTCGGGAACGGAGGAGACGTGTGTGCGATAAACCTAAGAAATGTCGATTTGTTGAGTGGGACAAGGCCAGCCAAAGGTCAGCAGCCGTTTCTATGAGCCTTTACAGCGTGAGGTAACCCTTTTTTCGAACCACTTCCTTGGTTTCCCAGCACAGGCGGCGGCCGCCGTCGTCGTCGTCGCCTCGTTATCGGGACAAGCTTCAGTTTTTTGTTACTGTCCAATGAGCGCAGACGTTCGAATTCGAAGCAGCTCCAGGCCATTGCGTCCGTAAAGGCTCGAAAGTCGCAAGTTGCAGCGTCGCGATGCCTGGAGCTCCGTCTCTCATGAACGCGCGTCTCTTTTTGTGCCGAACTGGGCGCTAGTCGTCGCTCGAGTCACGAGCACACGAGCTCCAAGTCTTGAGCGCGTACTACTGCTTCGTTGAGGGGTCCAGGTGCCAGCCTCCCTAGCCGCGTAGTCTTGACGCCATCAAGTGCCCAGTCTCCTTGCCGCACGCGTCTCCATTGCACTCGTCGTCCTATGCACGCGGCACCCTCGAGGAGCACGCAGAGCGGAGGCAGTCCCGTCACCGAGGACGAGGGGTCCATGTCGCCCTTGTCGTCGCCCTCTCCGGCCTCGACAAACGGAGTGCGAGTCGTCCAGCAGCTGCACCGCGCAGCTCAGAGCGGAGACGTCAAACGGATCCGCAAGCTCGTCCAGGTTGCACGCTTTAGTGCGTCATGTCCTTCAGGCTGCACCATCAATCGGCCGTCGTCGTCGTCTCCCCCGATCGACTCGAACCTGTGGCTCAATGCAGCAGATGAAGACGGCTTCACGGCCCTGCATCTCGCCTGCGTTGGTGGGCACGACGATGCTGTCCACGAGCTGCTGCAGGCAGGCGCTGACTTGGAAGTTGCAACGCCCGAAGGATTCACTGCGCTCATGTTCGCCGCGTGGGTTGGATCGCTCTCGCTCGTGCAGACGCTTGTGTCTCAGGGAGCTCACGTGATGGTACGTGACGTTGACGGTAATGATGCCGCTTTGATTGCCGAGATGAACGACCACGCGAGCGTGGCCAACCTGCTCCAGAAACACGTTGAGACCCTCGAGGATCGTGAGCCCCTGAGCCACCGCCAGGGCGCGTCTCCCTGGAGCCACAGCAGACAGGAGCAGACTTTCCAGTTCAAGTCCCATGAGAGCTTTTCGGACAAGTCGGTCATGTCCAGCGACTCGAGCGCTTCCACTGGAAGTGACGATGATCGCAGCAGACTCGAGAGCGTTCGCAGTCGCTCTTCCACGCGGTCGTCGCTTGACCAGCTACCCGGGAAGACGCTTCTTACCATGGAAACCTCTCCATCCAGCGACAGAAACGGCGCCACGCCATTGCACGTTGCAGCGAAGCACGGACAGCTCGAAACAGTCAAGGCGCTCGTCGCTCGTGGTGCAAATCTGTCTGCCGTGCTGCCCAATGGCGCCAACGGATTGCACTTGGCGTCAGCGTCCGGGTTCGTTGACGTGGCCTCGTACCTCATTGACCAGGGCCTGTCAGTTGACGAGCGTACAGTCGCTGGCACTACTTCGCTGCACGAAGCGGCGTACCAGGGGCACGCTGACGTCGCCGCGCTACTTCTCGACCGTGGGGCCACTGTCGATGCAGCTACAGAGTGGGGTACGACCCCATTGCATCGTGCAGCGGAGAAGGGTCACGTGCATATTGCTGAGCTGCTGATCGCGCACGGAGCGCACATTGACGCCGTGACGACGGAGTATCTCGCGGCAGGCGGAAACCGAGAGGCTGCAGATGACCGCCGTTCTCGACGTCGACGGTGTCGGAGACGCAAGAACTTCGACGCTGTGGAAACGGAAGGAACGGATGTGCATGTTGAAGCATTTACGGTGGAGCATCGGGCACCGGATGCGCTAGAGAACGAGGCCTCGTCCTGCCGATCAAGTCAAGTCGCGCTGTGTCTAGCAGCGAAGAATGGCCACCTCGATATGGTGCAGTACCTGCTGACGCGTCACCCGACTGATCTCGCGGCACTTGGACCATCTCGACACCCCGTTCTGCTGGCAGCTCGACACGGACACGTGGAAATCGTGCGACTACTGCTTGTCCATGACGAGTGTGCTTCGAGCTTGCCCGATGCAGCTTCGCGTGTCCTGTGCTTAGCAGCAGAGCATGGCTATCTGCAAATGGCGGAGCACGCGCTCGCTCGCGGAGCAAACGTTGAGGCTGTCGATGTGAAAAGACTCGCAACTCCGTTGGTGCTCGCAGCTCGAAATGGTCACCTTGCTGTTGTGCTGCATCTTTTGTGGGGCGGGGCGAAGGTCGACGCTGCGACGAGAACTTCGGGCTACACGGCGCTGCATTATGCGGCCAAGCATGGCCATCTGACAGTGGTGAACAGCTTACTCTTGAATGGGGCAGACGTCGATGCTGTTTGCAGACGACGTCGCATGTCGCCGCTCCACTTGGCAGCTGAATCAGGTCATGGAGATGTGGTGCGCTTCTTGCTATCGTTCAACGCAAACGTTGAAGTCGGACAGCGTTCGGCGGCCATGACGGCACTGCACATTGCAGCGGAGCGCGGCCATGTGGACGTAGCGCGAGAACTGGTGCTGCATGGCGCACAACTCGAAGCCGAGACACGAAACGATCTGCGCGCGCTCTTCATTGCCGCATATTGCGGTCATGCGGACGTTGTCGAGTTGTTGCTGGATCAAGGGGCTCAACTGGAAGCAAAGTCAGGCACGAACAAGACGACGCCTCTGCGTGGAGCAGTGGCAAAGGGCCGGACTGCCGTTGTCAAGCTGCTGCTGGCGCGTGGTGCCGACGCGACCGCCACGCAGTCCACGGATGGGACCACGATGCTGCACAGTGCGGCTGCTAACAATTTTGGCGACATCCTGAAGCTCTTGGTGGCAGCAGGAGCCAACCTGGACTGCGTGGATCGGGAAGGACGCACGCCACTGGACTATGCAGCGTCGGATCCCGTTCGTCTCCAGCTTCGTCTCGCATTGCTCAAGTCTCACTGGCAGAGGCAGGACAGCTGAGTCGCGACTGCGTTCTCTGCTTGTGATCACGAACGCTGGGATGCAGTGGGAGCTGCAGCCATTTTACAACATGTTAGATCATGTACGACGACGGAGTGACGAGGTGTGCTCCGCAGTCCTATTAGAGAAACGATAAGTACTGGTAACTATTGATCGCTGTTCTTAGGTCGCGTGGTGTTCAAGCTTTGAAGCGAGAGTTATAGTTGCAGTGAAGGGCATGACGACCGGGTGGAGTCGCTCATTCTGGAGCTTCCACATACGAGAAGAGTACGTGGAGGGGAGCCACAAAAGAGACGAACAATGGTAATGCGGCCGACGGGGATGACAAGAATAGACACGTCCAGCAATGGAGAGCGAGCCTTCGATATGCATGCACATCACGTGAGACGTACCCAGCTTCAAATGTGACAATAGAGGCTTGAGATGGCGACGCAATCAATCAGTATTGCAATACAGCAATACTGAGTCGTTTGACCTGCTTTTTTGAATAGTAAATCGTGCCGATCGCTTTTTGTGATATGTACAAGTGAACCGATCATCCGGCTTCATTCGCACATCCCCACTCTTATTTACGTGCGATCGATAACCCCAAGAAGGTGTTGAAGTTTTCTTTGTTCGTGTCGCCGGTTCGAAGACAGCAGCAAAGTACGTTTCGCCCCATCTATTCTCAAAAGACGGTCGCATCTTCTGCGACGTCACACAAGTCGCCCAGTTTCCTCCAGCTTGCTACTCCCACTACTGCCCATCAAATGCGAACTTTCACAAGATGACACTTGACAGCCGCTTTCTCGCAAAACTGCTCAACAGCCTTTCGCATGCGTTTCCACCGACCCGTCATGCCAGCGATCATCGATCCATTCATCTCGGCGTCCCAAGCGAGCAGCTCCAGCCAAATTCAGTTGACAGCCGCCGCTTTGTCGCTCCGTCTGTCGCTTTGTCGCTATGCAGCAAGCCGTGCTGGACCCCGAGTCGCAAGTGGAGAAGGGCGAGAGCGCCCGCATGTCGTCCTTCGTGGGCGCCATCGCCATCGCCGACATGGTCAAGACGACGCTGGGCCCCAAGGGCATGGACAAGATCCTGCAGTCCATGGGCGGCCCCGACCAGAGCATCTCGGTCACGAACGACGGCGCCACGATCCTCCGCAGCGTCTACGTGGACAACGCGGCGGCCAAAGTGCTCGTGGACATTGCCAAGACGCAAGACGAGGAGGTGGGCGACGGCACCACGAGCGTCGCGGTGCTCTGCGGCGAGCTGCTGCGCGAGGCCGAGACGCTCATTGACCAGCGCGTTCACCCGCAGACGATCATTGACGGCTGGCGCCTCGCCCTCGCGACCGCCACGGACGCGCTCGTGGCGTCGGCCCAGGACAACGCGCACGACGTCGACAAGTTCCGGGAAGACCTCACGAACGTTGCGCGCACGACGCTCAGCTCCAAGCTCTTGACGTACGAGAAGGACCACTTTGCCAAGCTGGCGGTGGACGCCGTGCTGCGTCTGCGGGGATCGAGCAATCTGGACTACATTCAGATCATCAAGAAAGCTGGCGGCTCGCTGCGAGAGTCGTATCTGGACGAGGGCTTCATCTTGGACAAGAAGATTGGCGTGGGGCAGCCCAAGCGCATTGAGAATGCCAAGATCCTCGTGGCCAACACAGGGATGGACACGGACAAGATCAAGATCTACGGCGCGCGCGTCAAGGTGGACTCGATGGACAAGGTCTCGGCGATCGAAGACGCTGAGAAGGCCAAGATGAAGGCCAAGGTTGAAAAGATCGCCAGCTTTGGCATCAACTGCTTTGTGAATCGACAGCTTATCTACAACTACCCCGAGCAGATCTTTTCGGACAAGGGCATCATGGCCATTGAACACGCTGATTTTGACGGCATTGAGCACCTGGCGGCAGTCACGGGCGGTGAAATCGCGTCCACGTTCGATAACCCGGACGCCGTGCAGCTTGGTGAGTGCGAATTGATCGAAGAAATCATGATCGGCGAGGACCGCTTGCTGCGTTTTTCGGGCGTCAAGACGGGCTCAGCCTGCTCGGTGGTGCTGCGTGGTGCTAGCTCGCACCTGCTGGACGAGGCCGAGCGCTCCCTGCACGATGCACTGGCCGTATTGACGCAGACGGTCAAGCACTCCCAGACTGTCATGGGCGGTGGCTGCACAGAGGTGTTGATGGCGCAGGCCATCGACAACAAGGCGCCGTCTGTGCCGGGCAAAAAGGCATTGGCCATGGAGGCGTTTGCACGCGCGCTGCGACAGCTGCCCAGCATCATTGCTGACAACGGCGGGTACGACAGCTCGGAGCTGGTGACGCAGCTTCGTGCGGCACACCATCGTGGGGAGACAACTGCTGGTCTGGACATGCGCACGGGTTGTGTGGGCGACATGGAGTCGTTGGGTATTCGCGAAGCGCTGAAGAGCAAGAAGCAAGTGCTGATCTCCGCAGCGGAAGCAGCCGAGATGATCCTCCGAGTAGACGACATTATTAAGTGCGCGCCACGCCAGCGCCAGGGACAGTAAGCGGCAGAGCTTCTCTCAGCGAGTAGTGGTGTGCCCAATACAATGGCGAGGGCTGCATTCACGTGTGCTGATCAACGTGACCACCGATTAATAGTAGTACCGTCAGGTTGCTCCGACCCCTTTCGTACTGCTGCTTGCAGTCAAGTGAGACTGCTCCTGCTCTTTGTGCACCGCTCCTTGACTCGCCGCTACTTGAGCTTATCTGAAGCTTCCACAGCGAGCTCGACTCAACTGATGCAAGAGCGTGTGCCTCCCGACTTCCTCCATCCATAGGACCTCAGTACATTGCGCCTCCTCTTTCTATCGCCAAATGAGACTCGTAGAGCAAGTATCGTGCAGACCACAGTCCTGTACTGACTGACTGCGACAGCATCGACTGCACTGGAAACCCCCGCGATCTTACTCGATCCAATGCTGGCAAGTGCAGCTTCAGTTAGCGCTGTTGATGACACTGATCAGGTTGTTCTCGCACAACGATGCCAGCAAGCACAAGTCGGAACCAACGAGGCAGTTGACAGTTCCGTCTTCACTACTCGCGCTGGGCGGCCCTGTATACGTCGGATCCTGGAATCAACTACAAAAGCTGCAGCGGTAGCACCATCAGCATCACTGCCGCCTCGTAAATTCATCGATGCTGCCCATTGCAGTCAACAGAGATCTGTTGTCGCTCGTCTGTATCAATCCCTACCTTGCAGTCGCTCTAGCGAAGGGTGGCATGGACGACACTCTGTACGGACACCACGACGCAGACGTCAAGACGTTGGTACCAGGAGGTAAACAACGAACGAGCTCAATCGATGCGCATTCGAGCACTTGTGTCCGAGGAGATGCAGCTGGTGGTGAGACTGAGATCCTCATGCGTCGCACTGTGCATCAGTGTCCGTGGAGAGACTGACTGAACTGCGTGACTGAGGACAGAGCCGGTCTAGCGATTCGCTTCTGGTTCAGGCCGCTCGCAATGGCACCTCACAGACTTCATGAGCACAAACAAGACGCAGGTCGCGCCTCACCTGGTCTGTGCGCTGACGTGCTGATGTGAACGATGCTCTTTCTGAAGCTTGTGGTGCTGCGTCGCACCTTGCGTGTCGTGACGACCCATCGACATAGTCATTCATAGCTTTAGACAGTCTTCAGGCGGTCACTTGGACGCAATTGCAGCATTTGACACGTGGAGTTGGCGATGGAGCGATCCAAAGCATGACGGCACGTGATGAAAGGATGTTCTCGAGAGGGGCTCTCGAGGCGAGGCGATTACAAAGCTAGGACAACAGCAGCAGTAGTAACGATCTGCTGTCGGACACAGCCATGTTGCAAAAGGCGTAGACAGCTGGCTGCACTTGCGGCGTCTGCCGTTCATGGACATGGACATTGCTCGCATTGTCAGCAGCTGACTGAATATGGACATGCGGGTGCGCTGTACCGAGGCCGGCGTGACCAGCATGTGCAGGAAGGAAGTCCGAAAGCAAGTACGACGCTATATCCTCAAGCAGTGTCTACTCAGCTGAGGTCTGGCAGTTGTTTGCGCTCTTGGTGGTAAAACTCTCACGCGTTATCGTTCAAGCTAGAAACCATTCTAGCTTGAAGCTGCTCATCAAGACGATGTTCCAGCCCCGAGCTGCACAGTTACGCAGAATGCTAAGATTCGATCGCACAACACACCAAGGGACCATCACCTCGGCTTTCGTCAGGCCTCATTCTTATACGGACGTGACGTTGCGTGGCATCAAAGTGCGGAGGGACGAACAGGTGCGGGGACAAAGAGGTCGAGAGTACTGCAACCCAAATCGTCCCAGCTGGTGCGTGACCATCTCCCTCGAGCCCCTTCCTTGTCTTTGCCGTGTCGTGTCGTCGGCACATCTCGCTTGTCGTCTCTGACTTAGACCTGAATGTCGCTCATCCATTCCCGCATTTGACGACCAACTCGCACAGACACACGTCCTGGAGCTTCCTTGACTATGAAGGTCGTTGCATTTTCCCTCATCGCTGCCGCCCTCACCGTTGCCAGTGTGCACGCTGACGTGTGTGACCAGGCGTCCGTGACGGCTCTGCTGACGTCTAGAGAAGTGGCTGCGTGTACGAGCAGCTCGGGTTACTCGCCGTCGTCGCTCAGGAGCCCCACAACTGCTCAGCTGGAGACCATGTGCTCCGCTGAAGCCTGCCAGACCATGCTGTCGATTGGGACCACCATGTTTCCAGAGGAGTGCACGATCAACACATTTGCGCTGCACTCTGGTCTTCTCGCGCCCGTGTCTACGTACTGCGGGAGCAGCTCCAACTCGAGCTCACTCACGGTCACTCCGACTGACACGGACGTGTTGACATCGACGTCTACTACTGCGTCGACGGAGACGGAAGGGGCCACGTCAGACTCGAGTTGGACAGACGCGACGATGTCTTCGGCCTTATTCGACAATGCCGATCAGAAAACGACTGGCTCTCTCGATGGGTCGGTGTCTTTGACCGACGATGCAAATCAGATGACAACCGGCTCTCTCGACGAGTCGCTGTCTTTGACCAACTTGAATGGCTCGATGGCCTGGGACGACTACAACGGCTCGATGGCCTGGGACGACTACAATGGCTCGAAGGCCTGGGACAACTACAATGACTCGACGGCTTCGGCCACCTTGGACGACGACATGATGATGAGCGTCTCGGGCTCGGGCAGTGACTTTGTCATTGAGACCCTGCCTCCTTCCACCAGCTCTGGCTCTCTATTACTTGATGACGAAGGTAGCGTTTCGGGCGATCCGGATGCTGCGGACGGGACCCCAGGTCGCGCAAGCGGTAGTGTTGTTACTATGGGGCCGTCGTCGACTGTGTTGCTGGGATCGGCTGTCGTTGCTACGGCTGCGCTCTTCTTGTAGGGCTCTTTCTTCATGGTGCTTTGAGCAAGTCAAGTAGTTTTCAGGTCAGGTCGTTGGTTATACCGAGCGTACCGACATTTCCTGGCTTTTTCGCTGTGTACATCCATGTGTTTCTACAGCATGATGTTCGATTGAAATGAATACACAGCTCAACGAACGTTCTCCTCGAGTGCCATGAAGAGTTATGCGCTTTAGGTCGGCACGAACACTTGATATGCCAAACACTGTCGGCATCATCTCCATCGAACGTGCGCTCCGTACGTGAGCTCTGGCAGGATGGGAAGAAGATCAGCTCACTTTTACTCCCATTCTTATGATGCGAATCCGGCAGCTCGTAAGTACCCAGTTCTGTCAACAGGACGGCACTTTTGCGGTGCGTCTACCCCCCGATACCACTTTAGCTCACGGGGAGGGGTCGACGATTTGACATGCAAGGGTTCGGCTAGCAATCTAGAGCATTCAGCAGTTCGATTGCGCCCTGCCGCATTGCTATTGAGGCAATGTAAAGACAAGTGAGGGCGGGCTAGAAGCCGCATGTGCGAGCTGATGAACCGGACTTCATTGCACCAAAACGAACTCTCTCTCAATGCCTTGGCCTGCATGCGACAAAACCGGACAACAGCTTAGGTTCGCCGGTGACTAAAGTGCTACATGCGAGAACACAACCAAGCGACTTCGGTTCTCGTCAGCGCACCCGAATGTCCATATTCAGTCAGCTGCTGACAATGCGAGCAATGTCCATGTCCATGAACGGCAGACGCCGCAAGTGCAGCCAGCTGTCTGCGCCTTTTGCAACATGGCTGTGTCCGACAGGAGATCGTTACTACTGCTGCTGTTGTCCTAGCTTTGCAATCGCCTCGCCTCGAGAGCCCCTCTCGAGAGCATCTTTGCACCACGTGCCCTCGTGCTTTGGATCGCTCCATCGCCAACTCCACATGTCAAATGCTGCAAATGCGTCCAAGTGACCGCCTGAAGACTGTCTGAAGCTATGAATGACTCTGTCAATGGATCGTCACGACACGCGAGGTGCGACACAGCACCACAAGCTTCAGAAAGGGCATCGTTCACAGCAGCACGTCAGCGCACAGACCAGGTGAGGCGCGACCTGCGTCTTGTTTGTGCTCATGAAGTCTGTGAGGTGCCATTGCGAGCGGCCTGAACCAGAAGCGAATCGCTAGACCGGCTCTGTCCTCAGTCACGCAGTTCAGTCAGTCTCTCCACGGACACTGATGCACAGTGCGACGCATGAGGATCTCAGTCTCACCACCAGCTGCATCTCCTCGGACACAAGTGCTCGAATGCGCATCGATTGAGCTCGTTCGTTGTTTACCTCCTGGTGCCAACGTCTTGATGTCTGCGTCGTGGTGTCCGTACAGAGTGTCGTCCATGCCACCCTTCACTAGAGCGGCTGCAAAGTAGGGATCGATGGAGTTGAGCGACAACGAATCTCGATCATCTACACAGCACAATAGTTCAGAGACGACGACTACGACCGCCACAAGGAGCTTGAGCATTATGCCGGCGCCAATGGGACAGCAGAGTCCGTCAGAGAACTTCATCGACGTGTGGTGTCGCCAGCCATTAGGCGCCCGTCTTCCTCCGTCAATCTCGTCTAGCATCCAGAATGTTCACATCAACTTCACACGCAGCAAACACACGCTATAGCTCTCTCTTCCTATGCACTGCTTCTGCTGTTGTAACCAACACTTGGTTGCTGCAGCAGCAACACTGAGGGCCTTCGATGGTGCACCACCGCGGCCGCTGCAGTGGTGACACTACGAGGAGCTCATGGTGTCACCACTCTAGCTTCTCGGGAGGTCCGCCATCTGACGTCTCTAAAGCTACTATCGTCGTTGCCAAGATGAGCTGTTAATGGAGTGGCGTGGTTGCTCGCTCCAAGCGGCTTGTCGCAACGCCCAGCGCACGCATCGATGGTGCCACGGTCTTGCTTCAGTCATTGTATCAAGGCAAGAAGGGCATCCTCTGCATGTCGGGCGTTAAGCTACTCGAGCGTAACACGAGTCAGGAACTGAAGGCTGCAGAGAGATCACAGCGGTAGCGACAAGAGATACTAGCGGCCTAGTCGATCTACACGATTGGCAGGTGCAGCGGAAGAAAAGTGAACGAGGGCCAAGCAGCTGAAGGCGAGCGGTAGAACATGACGTTCACGTCACCCCGCCAGCACAGTTGCATAGAATCGAGCCCACACATCAAGACCTCTTTGGTCCTCAAGTGAGAGCGAACACGACCACGCACTGGTGTTCGCCTGAATCACTGGTAGATGAAGACGATCACAATAGTAACGAATGGCGAAATGCAATGGATTAGCCTCCGAGTTTTATAGGCGACGAACTACGCGGACAAGCAGTTGTCCGCTCGGATGACTTCATATATCTGTGCGGCACCAGCACAAAAAGACAGCAGTGCTTAGAAGAACACGGTGACAAAGGCAGTCACGACAGCACCAGCAAAGATGGTGGCCAAACCGGCGCCGCTGTGGCCGGATACCGACCCGGAAGTCGTGTTGATCGTGTCGCTCGAAACCGAGCTGGGGGTCTCGGAAGACTGGGGACCAGGAGCGACGACGGGTGTCGTTCCTTCTGGGCCCGTGGACCCGGTGGTTTCTTGTTGAGTAGAGGTCGCGCCATTCGCGCCACTTGCAGGAGTCATGGCGGCAGGGGGTGCAGAGTTCCCGGGGATGGCGCCCGTAAAGTTCATGGAAGCCGTTGGATCTATAGTAGTGACAGTGCCGGTGACAGTGCCGGTGACGGGGGGAGCAGCGCCCTTGTGGCCCATGGTCGGCTTGCCGTCGTCGCAAGCACGGTCCAGAGGGTCAAGCAGGTCGTAGTGCAGGTGGAAGCTCATCAGCTTGCACTCATGAGGGGCGATCACCTCGACCTTCTGTAGCACAGAGGCGCACGCAGGATTGCCGCACATTTTGGCCGATTGCTCTGGCGTGGGCGCAGTCAGAGCGGTCATCGCATAACCGGACTCGTTAGCACATTTGATTGTGGCCGGATCCGATATGAGCGGCGTGAGGGCAGCCACGTCACAATCTACGGCGCTCACAGGCCTGACGTCGTGGTCGTCATCGTGGGCATCCTGGGCATCGTAGGCATCGTACTCGTCAGCGTTGGCGACGAGGGCAACAGCGGAGATGATTACAGCGAGCTTCATCGTGACGAGGACTTGGCGCAGAGAAGGGAGGAGACGTGTGATGCTTGAGTGGCAGACGGAAAATCTGAGAGTGAGCTTCATCGAGGCATTGACCTCCCGCCTGCCGTGGTCAGTCTGTCGTCTGCGTTGCATGTGGCTCGAGAATCAAGTGGCGCCCAGAGCCTGGATCTGCTCATCAGAAGAGCGTGGGATATGCAGCGTGCGACATTCAGTTCAGTGAGTGTGTTGTACACTGAGGACGAGTTCTGACTGCATCGAGCCTTTCCCGACTAGATGCATGGCCGAGTCACACACACACATGAGCCATGTCGCTGCACAGTCAAGATCATTGAAGCTGAGGACCTTTGTGCTCGACAAGCAGCACTCGCTGGTCATGGCTGCTCTGATGTTCCCCCTCTAACATGCTGTGGGGGGTAAAGCGTCCGCTATCAAACTAGCTGGAGTGATGCTGCGGGGCTGGGCGGGGCGCTAGAAAGGAAGTGTGTGTCCACCTCCGCCTATCTATCTGCCTCTCGATAAAGTCTGATCCGTGGTGATCTTCAACCATCGAAGGCGATCCGAGCGATACTGGAACCAGTTTCATGTCACGTCAGACCCGTTCTTGAGCGGATGCTGCACTGGGAGATTTGACGAGCCAGAAACGCATGTTCTTACGCGTTTATCTCTCGTGCTGACTTCTGACGAATCAGATGGGGAATATAAAGGGCACTTCCCTCTTGTTACCCTTGATCGCATCGGTGGCATCGTACTAAAGACGCGCGCTGGTTTAATGCGACCTTGTGGTGCCTTAACTGCATGACAGTAAGGAGCATGAGATGCTCAGCTATATGGTCAAGGACGTGCACGAAACTAATTGGGCGCCCTTGACCTATCACCGTCATTCAGGATACTTTTTAGTAATGATTAGCATGGGGATTTCAGTGTAATGTGCTTCACGTTTCCAGCACCGACATTCATCATCCTGCGACACAGAAAATGAAGCTGGTGTAAAATTCAGTTCGGCTCGTCATGAAGCAGCACTGCTATATGCTAGCTGCTAATGGACCAACACGAATTCAGAGAGAGGCATACGAGCCTATTCAAGCATTACAAGCTGCAAGATGTATGGCATCTATTAAGCCTGGTCAGGAATGCCGGCTCCATGTGCGTTTCGGTGTGTGTACGAGCTCGCTGTCTATCTGAGGTGACAGCTCTCTTGGTTGCCTGGCTACTTTTCGGTGACACAATAGCGTACGTGCTTTTCGTGTCAGCCCTTCAGTACTCCCGCTTTGTGACCCTCGGAGTTGCCGCATACCTGCTTGCCGAAACTCCTCGACACTGCCGTCGGGAGTTACTTCTTCTACCCGGTGGAAAGTAACTTGATTGCGCTGTATCCACGTGCTAGTTATACAGACGCTGCTCAGGGTTCTCCATAGCCGCAATTGGACCTGCAGACTTGTAATGCATACACTGATCAGTAGATGCCACATTCGTTTTCATACTTCAGTAAATTCCGTCACTTCGTCCGGACGTTTCCGATGAAGATGTTCGATAAATACGGCGGAGAGCCTCGGCACCATGCAGCTGGCACAATTGGCGAGATAGCCGTATAGCCTGGGTTACGCCTAGCGCTCACCGGTCCAGTGACAAAAAGATTCTGCCAGGACTGGGCGAGCGGGCAGGGCCAAAATGTGTTCCAACATGAATTCGGTGATGGAAACGTTTGTGTAGTAAAACGCAAGATCAGGAACGATGTAGTCAACGTAAAGATCATGAATCTCTTCGATAGTGTTTCGGCTGTTCTACTAGCAATCAGCGGGAAACCACAGTGCGCCAAAACAACCACTTTTGTGGTGATTGACCGTCGCAATTAATCAGTGTATGATACGCTTGAGTTAGGAATGGAGCGTACTGTATCTGTCGTGGTCACAATTAGCATTCTGTCCTGTCTCAAAGACGATCATAACGTGTTGAGGCGCACATCTTGCGTAAGCGGCTTATCAGTAAAACAGCGAGGCACACGGCATGTAGTATGGCGTACCTGAAGCAAGGCTTGCGAAGACTAGAGGCAGGGTTGCAACAGGATCGTTGGTTTCAATATCTGTGGGTCCAGGACGGAAAATTGTCTGCGTTCGAATCGATACACCTTTACACCAGTTCTCTATTGACGTGCTTGGGTACAGCTGGGTAGACCGTTCCCGGTACACAATCTGAATCAATAAAAATGTTTGAAGCTCTGACCTAAAGTATTGGGTCAAAAGCAGGGCTGGCGCCAAGTGCTTTTTACACTCTTCAATCTGCAGTGAATAGGTAGGGGAGTATAAAAAAGGCACTTACTGGCGTCAGCCAGCATCTTTCAAACGACGGATTCAAAGCCGTCACCAAGCCTCCCTCCCGATGGGGGAGGGGGCGCCCAATCTGGGTCGACGGTACCTCAGGAAAGTGATGGCAGTATATGTAACGGGGCACCCTGAAGCTTGTACTGGTGACAGTACAAGCTACTTATTCTGATGACAGAATAAGGCGGTGCCTCGTAACTTCACGTACACTCGTACGTGCAGAGGAAGACGGTAAGAAGAAGCGAGTACTTGGTTAAAGTAAAAAGTAGAACTGTATTTATAATAGTTAATGTCTGCAATAAATCACTATTTATCTTCATCTAACTATGTCTAAATACAAATGTGTAAATCAACTATCTGCTCACCACTCATTGCGTGCGTCTGTCGTGGCGCGTCTTCGTTGGTTGATATAATGGCCTATATCAACCAATTAGGAACTACTTGTAAGTGCTACAGAATATTTGTCCTTATGACAATATTCTGAGAATATAACTCTTGTAGTTATATTCTATTAACAATTTCTTATAAATTGTTATGTAACGATTCACCCCGTTACATCACCCCCCCTTAACCATCAGTCACTTTAGTGACTGATTGACTAAATGGATACTCGTCCCAAATCATTTGGGACAGGGTTTGCACTTGTTGGTCCGCGTCCACTTTCCAACATCTCATCGCATGGTAAACAAGCCCATGCGATGCGCGAGCAAGGCCGCCGAGAGCGCGTCTGCACGTCTCTGTGCGGACCCGAAGCAGATACAACAGCAACTGATGTCTCATCGGTTGCTGAAGCGACCCAGCCTGTGTCACTTGGTGATGCAGGCGCTGGTCATGAAGACACTCGTGTCTTCACAGAGTACGAGCTCGGTGTCTCGTACTCTCCTGATACGGATGACGGATCCGTATCGACGGCGATTGAATCTAAGCCGCCTGCCAAGCGTGGCATGGACGATGCTTTGCGTCGCAGCATCTTTGGTTCATCTGATGAATCAGATGAACCATCGCCGAAGCGAAGGCGCTCGAGGTCGCGAGACTCGGGCGCTAATAGTGGTGTCGGTTCTCCTATGGACACCACTTCACAGCGAGGTGCCAGTACTTCTGTCGGCACGTCGCAGGAAGAGCGGGACCGCAATGTGTTGCGTCTCGCTCCTGAGAAGAAGGCATGGATGCCTCCTAAATCAGTCATGGATCACTTGTCGGCGACGACGAGTGATCATTATCGAACACGATTGTTCGATTCGTCAAGGATCCATCACCTTGACCCCAGCGCGAAAAACTATCGCGCTGAGAATGATTTCTTCATCGATGCTTTCTTTAGACATCGATGGTACAGTGGGAATCACAAACGTGATGGTCCCTCACTGCTTCAGGCGTGGAACGCCTACATCCATAACCTCGAGGATGTAGGTCGTGACGTTTGGAACGACAAACTTCAAAGCTCGTGATAAGTTTGAAAAGCGAACCCCGACAGGTGCACGCTACAAGCTGCATCGTCTGTCAAGGGAGAAAGGATTACCCTGCCTCTCTTGGGGAGACTCGTGCCCATGTTGTGTGAACAACTCTGCACGAGCACCTAAGGAGGCTTACCTACTTACCAGCCCGTGGTGGCGCGTACGTGTCTCTACTGAGATGTACGAAGGAATTGACAACCTGAAATCCCTTTACGACCGTGCCGGAAAGACTATCTCCGGCGGTCCTTCTGCGGCACAGGATGTGCCGCGTCGTACTGCTCAACCAGACCCAGTACGTCGATCATCAGTTGGGAGCGGGGCTCCCAAGAATCCCAGGACGGGGGATAACCGCGCCACCGGACGAGATAACTCGTCCGACGTCCGTTCACGTCGCGGTGGTTCAACAGCTGCTCAACTAGATAGCGCTGGCCACCGCGAGAGTCCTCTAATGGAGGTGGAGGAGGAGGAAAGACGCTCTCCACACGATCATGTGGATCGGTGTGTTCCGAGAGCTTCTTTGATCGCGTAACGCAAGGGTTACGCGACGATCTCGAGCATGAGCGGAATAGGCGTCTCCAAATGGCGGACACTGCCTCGAAGCATCGAGCTGAGTTTGCCTTTGCTCAGCTTGAGAACGAGAGATCTCTGACATCTCTTCGTGACGAGCTAAGGGTAGCTCGTGGGATTGCTGATCGGTCTCGGGATGAGATAGCTGCTCTTCAGACCCTTGTTGATGCCCACCATCGGGAGCACAAGGCTCTCTGCGAGATGCTTGAGCGCAAGGGCGTTCTTCATCGGAAGAAGCAGCGTACTGATGGTACGGCTTAAGCCGACCAACGTAAAACGTGGGATGCGTTCGCATCTTACGTGGTAACTCGATCGTGTATGCATTGCCTAGGCGGTGCATACACGAAATGGGCCAATGTACTTGGGTAGTAGTTTACTGCTACCCAAGTTAGTCACTACATGCTTTGGTAGATTAACCGTAGACAGTAGGACTAAGTCACCTTTATTAAATAAAAGAGTGTTTGCCCTTCCATTCTTGTCAGCGTTTTGCTTTTGCTTATCCACCGCTTCTGCTATGGAATCTTGCACAAAATGGACTACCGTTTCACGAGCCAGTATGAACTCATCTGATGACTCGTTAGCTTCAGTGTGCTGTGAGCGCACTGCAGCAACATCAACCTTTTCTTCAGTGAGGGCTTCCGCACTCTCACTGGCATCATCTTCTTCGATATCGATGTTATCGATATCGGCATCAAACGCAATGACTTCTTCGTCAGAGCGTGATGAGCGTGAACTAAATCGGTTTTTGCTCGCGCGAGTCCCTCCCCCCCTTAAACCAGAGTTACACTCTAGTAAGGTGGGTACACGCGGATGGCGCAAGCCATTCACGTAAAACGGTGTATGTGTCGTGGACGCATGCACCGAGTTGTTGATGGCAAACTCTACCATTGGCAAAAACTCACTCCAACTCTTAAAGGAGTGTACGTATCCTCGAAGTATCTCTTCAAGGACACGATTGGCACGTTCCGTCTGACCATCTGACTCTGGATGATCAGATGTTGACATCTTCAAGCGCGTTCCGAGTGATTTGAACACGGGACGCCAGAAATCAGCAGTGAATCGTGGATCTCTGTCTGATACGAGTTCACGGGGCAACCCATGAAGTCGGAAGATGGTGTCAATAAAGACACAAGCACAGCCACTTGCCGTGATTGTCTCTGGTACAGCCACAAGGTGTACCATTTTGCTGAATCTGTCAACAAATACGAGAATACCCGTATTCCCGCGTGCGTCTTTGGGTAACTCGAAGACGAAATCCATTGAGATGGATTCCCAGCACTCAGCCGGAACCGGTAGAGGCTGTAAAGGTGCACGCAGTGAAGGACTTGACTTCACTCGTTGACAGACTTCGCATGCGCGAACATACTTTCGCACAAACTGATACTGGCGGGGCCAGTAAAAGTCTCGACTTACCGTGAGATATGTTTTCTCCCGGCCACGATGTCCTCCTATAGGAGCATCGTGATACTCGAACATGATCCGCAAACGCAGATCAGTATCATCTGGAATGACAACACGTGGTGTGTCACCAGAAACGGCTGTATAATACAGTAAACCGTTACGAGCAGTGTATCGATCTGCTGCAGATCGATACGCAGACGACAATCGTTTCAACGATTCTCGAGATGGTTGGGAGAGATGTGTCAACAACTTCACTATCTCACCATCTTGGGCGTATGCCCGCCTCACATCATCATACAACGTTGTAGATGGGACTGAGGACGTCATAACCGCAACAGTGACTGTCTCACTGTTGGGTTTCGCGACTGTTTCAAAGTCGGGACGACGTGAGAGTGCATCAGCGACGACGTTAAGTCGTCCTGGCTTGTACTCAACCGTAAAGTTGTATTCTGCAAAGAATGACAACCACCGCGCCATTCGTTGTGAAAGGTGCGGGCTGTTCACTGCCGTGCGTAATGACGCATGGTCAGTGTAAACAACGAAGGGTCTATCTCCTAATAGATAGACTCTGAACTTCGCAAGTGCATACTTCATGGCAAGGAGTTCCTTGTCATGCACTGGATAGTTCCGCTCAGCTGGTTGCAGCTGACGCGACTGATAGCATACGACGCGTTCAACGCCTTCAAGATCGTACTGCATTAATGCACAGCCGATTGCGAAATCGCTGGCATCACAGACCACATGAAATGGCCTGTCCTGATCGGCTATTGCTAGGACTAGGGATTGTATCAAGCTCTGCTTGATACCCTCAAAGGAGCGTTGACATTCAGCGTTCCATAACCACCTCTCGTTCTTTTTCAACAAACGAGAGAGGTGTACAGTCATCTCGGCGTAATTGCGTGAATACTTATGCAAATACGCCGCTAGCCCAAGGAATTTTCGAAGACCTTTGACATCGACCGGCACAGGCCAGTCGGTGATCGCCTTGATCTTTTCGGGATCAGGACGTACACCGTTCTTACCAACGATGCACCCAAGAAGTGGTATTTCGCTTGCTGCAAATATACACTTCTTGAGGTTAGCATACAATTGATGCTTTCGCATGATTGTAAGAACTTGTCGGACGTGGTACCTGTGAACCTCAACGTCCGACTTTCCATCCATAGCTCGACTATGGATGAATACGTCATCGAAATAACTCGGCGCGAATTCTCGTACTGGTCTCAACAGATGTGATACACATCTGTTGAACGTGGCAGGGGCATTACTAAGCCCTTGTGGCATTACTAGCCATTCCCAGAGCATGCCGCTAGGCGTGCTAACTGCGTTATAGGGTATATCCCGTTCCCGCATAAGGATTTGATAGAAGCCATCCATCAAATCCATGGACGAAAAGATGGTACTCTTTGACATACCATCAATGATTACGTCCTTCCTCGGTATCGGCGTCTGAGCCGGTACCGTTGCAGCGTTCAATTTGTTGAACGCGTGCACTATCCGCCACCCTCCTGTTGCTTTTCGCACACAGAAGGTCGGAGAGCTATGTGGGGAAGTTGATTCCCTCACATGGCCCGCAGCTAAACGATCGGCAAAGAACTTGTCGATCGCAAGTACTTGTTCACGAGGCAGTGGCCACTGCTTCATGACACCGTACTTCGAGCCTGGTTTAAGCTCGACCTCGTGTCGAATACCTTTATCCTTCGGTAATTCGCACGGAACGGTTTCAGGGAGTGCATCCTTGAATTCAACCAAATCTTCATAGAGAGGATTTTTCTTGAGCGATTCCCATGATTGGGAGTCATATCGCTCAATTCGTGTCTTTTCATCTAGGACACTCTCGTCCATAGATGAACTACTGAGAACTCTCTCGTTCTCAGTGAACACTGTTGCTGACCTTATGTCGGTTACACACTCGTCGTCAGCGACGAGTATGCAGATCTGCTTGACTTTGCCACTACGCAGATCACGCAAGAACCTTTTATGTTCGAGCGTTAGCAACTGAGTGATCTCCGAAGTTAACTTCGGAGGCGCAATCAGATCAAGTGTATAAGCGCCTACACTTGATCCGTTATTGACTATGACATTCAATGTCTCTGTCATTTCCTGGGGACTTATTCCCTCCGGCTTCGAAGGACTTATTCCTTCGTCTTCCCGGGGACTTATTCCCGCGGGTTTCGGGGAACTTATTTCCGCCGTATTTGTAATCTTGGGACTTATTCCCTTTACTTCCTCTAGCTGGGGTTGCGCAACCACAGCGAGATCCTCTACGAAAGACTCTCCAGTCGATCTAGGATTATCGTTTCGCTTAACCTGAGCGATCGATTGTTTCTCTTCTAGATGTTCCCCGCTAGGGATACATCTTTGTCCCAGTCCACCCGACTTATTCGAGTGGTGGACCTTCGGCGCAGCCTGTGTTTCCTCACAGCCGCCGGAACTTTGCTCCGAAGTGTAACCGTTTGGTACACTAAGGTTTTGTGCAGTCGTACTAACGACCGTACCACAAGTGAGGCCATCGCACTCACTCGTAGTACATCCACACGCTTGTGGACGCTCCAAAACGTTCATCAGATGGCCATCTGATGAACAAGCGGCAGGCATCGTTACTGTCCGATGTTGCCAGTTTACTCGTGGTTCGTACCTTCTGAGCCACGGTATTCCAAGGATGACATCAAATTTGTCATCCAAATCCAATACGATAAAGTCATCGTCATATTGGGTATCTTCTAGCGTATAGTGGATCTTCACTATACGCTTCATGACGGTTACGGATGCGCCTGTCGCAAGACGTACCGTCATCCTCGTAGGAGGTGTGTCACATTCACTGAACTTAAAGTGACCATCTTCTAGCGATTGGCGTCGCACAAAATTGTTGGACGCCCCACAATCGACTAGAGCTCGAAGGGACAACTTATTTGTCACTTCGAGTTTCAAGGAAATGAGTGAGATCTCATTACCTAGAGCAGCAACTCACAATGTTTGTGTGTTGGGAGCAACCTTCATCAAGAGGCCTACAAATTCTCTTGACGTTGCTAGAACAGTAGGGTGCTCCGCACCTACTGATCCTGTCCGTTTTTTGACGGTCCATCCCGTTGTTGCGTCTTTGCACCAACTGCGGACCCTCGTCCATGCCCCTTTCTCATGGGTGGACGGTCACTACGCCCAGTGTCGCGAGACACTGGACGAGGGGCACTACACTCGTAAGCGTAGTGTCCTGTCTTTTGACATCTGTTGCATCTCTGCAACTTCTTGTAGCCTGTAGAGCGAGCCTTCTCGCTCTCTACATAACAGAGTTCCATCGGCTCTGGACCTCCGTTGTCATATCGCCTCGGTTGACGATATGATGTCGAGCTGGCGCGAGCCTGTCTCAGACTGAAGTCTTCCTGCTCCGCAATGGAAATGGCTTGTTCTAGTGAATCTAGTTCAAGCCGGAACAGGTGAGTCTTGACGGGACCATCCGCAAGACCCTGTATGAACACCGCAACCAACGTGTGTTCATCAACCGGGTTGGAACTTATACAACTCGTGAGATGTCGTATATGTTGCGCGTAAGCGTGCACATCACGCTTACCCTGTTTGAGCTTCAAGAGTTCAGTTCGAGCTCTGAAATCAGCTCTAGGCGGTTCAAACGTTTGTCTGAGCCGCGACTTGAAGACTTACAACGACCCAAACGCATATGGGTCGTGCAACTTAATCCCCAGTGCCCTTGTCTTGGCACGTCCTGCCAGATTTGACTGGGCAAATGCAACTTGCATTTCCCCATCGTCGATGCGACGCGTCCTTATGGTGTCGTCTAATTCGACGAGCCATCTCAAGAGGGAGTCCTCTTCGACTCCCCTATAGCTGGAGATGTCAATCTTCAAGGTCTCGGGTCGACGCGAGTGCATCGACCCACCAGCAGCAGCCTGCTGCTGTCTCAACAGTTCAAACTGTTGAGCACCCTGTTCTCTCAACAACTCTGCTTGTTGAGAACCTTGTTGGTGAAGCAAGGCTACTTTCTCGCGTTCTGCGTCAAGTTCATTTTGAATGAACTTGGCGATAGTAGCATGTTGGGCATCTCTATTGAGAGCCTCTAGAATGACGCTAACAGCATGGATGCCCATGGTCGAACCCATTCGTTCAACCGCATCCCATTCGACATCGCTCAAATGGGAGTAGCCGTCACGCGTAGCGTGAAAGCTTTGGTCATCTTCATCATCCAACATATTCATGTTGGATGTGAACGCGGTCGTTGGACGGACTACGAAGTGCTACCAGGTGTAACGGGGCACCCTGAAGCTTGTACTGGTGACAGTACAAGCTACTTATTCTGATGACAGAATAAGGCGGTGCCTCGTAACTTCACGTACACTCGTACGTGTAGAGGAAGACGGTAAGAAGAAGCGAGTACTTGGTTAAAGTAAAAAGTAGAACTGTATTTATCATAGTTAATGTCTGCAATAAATCACTATTTATCTTCATCTAACTATGTCTAAATACAAATGTGTAAATCAACTATCTGCTCACCACTCATTGCGTGCGTCTGTCGTGGCGCGTCTTCGTTGGTTGATATAATGGCCTATATCAACCAATTAGGAACTACTCGTAAGTGCTACAGAATATTTGTCCTTATGACAATATTCTGAGAATATAACTCTTATAGTTATATTCTATCAACAAATTCTAATAAATTGTTATGTAACGATTCACCCCGTTACAGTATAGCACTGCCTCCGGCACCAGTAACGGGGGAGTGTAAGCCGAGCATCGCGTCGCATCCGACCGAATATCTCGCACCAACCGTTGCCCCGGAGGCAGATGGGGACACCGACATTGACTCTCACCTAAAGCGTGCCATGTCGATCAGATCCCCGCCACAAGCTCTGTCAGCTCACGCACGTATCCCGGCTCCTACTGTTTCCTCCGGAGCTTCGCCACCCGCTGGGGTAGATAATCCGTCGTCGAATCCGTCGTCGATTCCGTCGCGAGCCGCGGCACCCGCTGGGGCATAGAATCCGCTGTTAGATCCGTCGCGAGCCCCGACACCTGATCAATCGACTCAATCGGAAGCGTCGGCTTTCAACACCTCGCCTTCTCCGGCGTCCCCCCGAGACATGTTTGATGCCCTAGTTGAAGCGATGAAGGCATCACCCGAGCCGGGGTACGTCGATGTATGGCGTCAGACCGTTCAGGAGCTGTTTAAACATGTTTTTCTCGGCTTCCGGTTAGCATGGAAGCTCTACCGCAAGAGCGGAAACGCTTTCCAAAGCTAAAGGGTTCGGAGTTGGACGGTCTCCTCGATTTATTTCGGCAGTGTTTTGCTCGGAGTTCCGGCACATATGCCGATTGGACAAGACTTGCTACCAAGATAGGTAAAGCTATTCTGCTCACCAAGTTTGCCTTCAAAGAGATTATTCGAAAACTAGCCAGCCAACACAAGTGGGCCACGGCGCCGGTCCCCGACCTATGGGCGCGGGTGGTGCGCCAAGGAGCACAGTCAGTCCAGGAAGGGCAGCAGGGGCACGCGTCTATTGTCTATGATGACTGTATGTTTAACCCAGATAAATATTCCACGGCAGAGGCAACCAAACTCAAAGACATATGTACCGCACGTCTCGGTCCTGCTCGCGCTCATCGCTTACGAGAGGGCACAGACGACGAATGGCGAGTCATCGTGGGCATAGCTGACGGACATATCGCGTGTCGTCGGATGCCAGATTTTCTACGATCCGCCTTTATAGTGGGGAACGTCTAAGGCTCTACAGCACAATCCAGGCGCAGGTCGAAGGACAACTGGTTCTTACTATTGGTAGAGGTCGTTACATTCCGATCAGCCGACAGACTTCTAACGGTATCACGGCGATGATACTCGAATCCGCGGAGCTTCTGCGGGTCAGTCTGACGGATCTCCATCGCTTCCTGGGATTAACGAAGGCTATCAGCTATAGTCGCTCATCCCGAACGATTCACTTCTACCTTTTCTTGAGGGAAACAGCGCAACGTCTTCCGGATGTTTAAATACCCTTTCAGGGACGAGTGTACACGTTAGAAAACGCTCATCAGCCGGTGCGGGGGGCAGTCTGGCAGAATCAGCGAGGCCCAGATGGTCGTTCGGGCCGCTCACGTACTGAGTACACAATTTTCCTGCACAACGTGACACGATTTAACGAGGTAGGACGCATAGCGGCTTACTTCAGGTCCAAAATCCCGACGGATTTTGAGTTCGAAGGTATATACACTTGCACTCCAAACTCCCGGACGTCTACAGTATGGAAAGTTACCTTCTCTCTGGCGGGATGTCCAACGTTTCTTCAAGGGAGAGTCCGCCTTCTATGGTTTGGAACCCCGATCATCATTAAGCACCCAAACGTGGGTCGAAGCCTTCAATGCCTACAGTGCGGCACCATAGGCCACCCAGCCGTCAGGTGCCAATTTACGGATGCGCAACTTAAGGGGCCAGGTGCTATCGAAGTCACAGAGGCTGAGCTTCAAGACGTCGAAGACTTGGCTAAACCATTCCTTAGCCCGGAGGAGATGCGGGAGATGGCTAGAAAACGACTACAACTTCAGAGGGCAGCAGACGAGGCAGCTCAGGCAGCTGTACCGGCGGCTATTGGTACAGCTCCCCCACGGCCGCCTCCGACAGTGGAGCCTCAGCGCACCGGGGTGCCCATTCAGCCCGTTTACACTGCCATTGCCATGCAAGCAGGCTTCTCGGACCCTAAACCGAAACCCCGGCCGGAGCAGCCTTGGCTGAAGCGTCCTCTTCGAAGTGGACGGCGTCTGTGGCCCTCACGCAAGCCACCGGTATCGACCGAAAGTCTCAGCTCGGGCGGTTTCCACGTCCTACAAGATATGGGGCCGGAGCTGGAGCAGAACAGTGCGGGGTCCGCTCAAGCTCCTAGCACGGACGGTGTCACGGACGACTCTCCGATTACATCGGAGCCTCACCCGAACATGGCTCCGGACGTCGCGCGGGCCAGGCCTCGCCTATCGTCAGAAGATCGAGTCCGTCAAAAAGACTTTAAACAACGAGGGCCAGCGCCCGAGATCTCGGGGCCGACGCTCCTAGCCAAACAACGTCTCGAACGCAAAACCTGTAAGCGGCTGGTTAAACAGCAACAGAAAGGACGGTGCACTTCGATCCCAATGGATCCTCGTCCAGAGACCGGTCCTTTTCATTTGAACGATTTAAAGCGTATTCTAGGCTTACGGGAAGTGCCCACCCCAGCCACTGGAAACTGTTTGGCGATGGCGATTGCTCAAGCCGTCGCAGATTCTGCCTTGGACGCACCACTCACCGTCCTGGAGCCTCTCACGGCCAGTATTAAGCGTGTTATCAAGTACGCTGAGCTGCTGAACCTGGAAGGTCAGCGTCCACACGACCTGAGGGTCAATACATTAAAAAATGTTGGACGCGGGTGGCAGACAATGACCAGAGAGGAGTCGGCAACTCAACCGCGGTGGTTTTTAACAGACTTTGCAGCAACCTCGTCTGACAGAGATACCATCGTTTCGAAATCTTGCTAAGGAGGTAGTGACATAATCGGTATGGCAGCTACTTTTCTGCAGCGGGATATCTTTGTCATCCACTTCGAGGATGACAGCGAGCAGTGGAGCTGTCGAAAATATCACCCGGCAAAGGTGCAGCTGCACGGTCGCGTATTCGACACAGCCAAGGAATACCCTCTATCTATCACGGCTTGCATTGACGATCTGCAAGCGGCTTAAATTTGAGGTAACAGACACATTGCCGCTGGTTCTCCGTTTCTGGGGGCGACATTATTCGGCATTCTTACATACGGACAACGCGGCAGACCTGACATCCCTATCGGATGACTTCAACAGCCCGAACGCAGAGCTGTCACAGCATTCAAAGCTACCTGCGGTAGCCGGCGCTACACAATCGGCACTCCATGTGCAGGCTTCATCTGTTACTGGACAGGTTACAACCACTCTGACTAGCGCTAGCCAAACAAACTCGCTAGTCGTGCACTCAGACCAGGGGGAAAACAGTCAGGCGTTGGTATTGCGTTCTTCGCAGCCGACTTCGGTTCCCGAAGTATTCAGCAATGACTACATGGAAGTGAATGTGCTGGCGCAAAAACAAGGCCTCGTCACCTCGCAGTCTGAAGCGGATGGCATGGACGACGACGGGAATCCCAGCTCCCTGGGGGGATCTAAGCCAAAAAAAGGCAGAGTCACGGTTAGTCCTCAACAGTCCGAGATGGCTTCCTCAGGCGGACGTATTGATCGTGAGGAGTGGCCATCGGTTTGGTGCGCCTCAGAATCTGAATGGCCGGTCACGGCTGAGACGTCATACCCTTTAGTTCATAGTGGAACGGAGGCGTGGCTCAAAACGGTGCGAATGGAGCCAAATCTTCTGCTCCATAACGTACGACGCTTTGTCTTTCCAGATGAATTACTAGCCAGCTTAGCAGACCAGGTTTTTGTGCAGTGGACATCCAAGTGGCGACAGGAGTGCCTGCTCTCGGGTCTTCAAGCGTACCGTCTCAGGGTGAAGGATGCCACCACCTCACAGTGGTTAGACCAATGGATTTCACGCGCGCAGTGGAGTCAATCCTCTTCCTCTCTCGCCTCCCTTATTGACAACGGAGATGACTGGAGGGAACTAAGAGACTGTAACTATGCCAAAGATGAAATCTTAAGGCTCTGTGACCCGCGACGACGAATCCGTCTAAGTCACCATCTACTTTGCGCTGATTTGTTTGACAAGGAGATACGTGCATTGACGGGGGATGACGTACATCCGCTCACTCTCCCCATTAAACTACGCTGTCATGTTCACCTGCTACGACGAAACGGTCAATATCAAGGGGCATATTACTCATCGGATCATCACCGGGTAAACTGGCGAGCACTCGTACATTGGTTCTCTACATCGTTGGCAACTGCGAAGGAGCGGTTTCTTCTTGAATACTGAGGGAAGCTCACGGTTGCACCTTTCCTCCTGTCTTCGTCATTGTTCATTGGAGGAAGTCGACGCCTATGGACGTGCTCGCTTGCTTCAGGATTGGACTACCCCCCCTGACACCAACAAGGAAACAAATCCGCGACGGGTCGGTGATGAAGTAATAATTACTTAAAACGTGCGAGGTTTTAAAGAAAGCACCCGTGCTGGTTGGATGGCGGCGTGGCGACGACTGACTCCTGGACAACGTGTGTTGACGTGGTGTATCCAAGAAACGCACGTCCACACAGTGGGGGAAGCGGCTCAACTGAGTGCCCAGTGGGTTCGCTTGTGGGATCAGCACCTAAAGCCCGATGCTCCTCCATTGTCGTACTGGAGCACGAGCTCGTCACGACACGCTGGCGTAGCAATTCTTTTGACCCCGCACTCAGCTGTCCACTCGTCAGTATGTCATCAGGATCGCTGGAGTCCGCGCGCATTAAGTATGTCGATTGGAGACATCCTCCTCGTCAATCTGTATGCTCCCACATTACGACCGGAACGCGAGGCCATTTTCACCTCTCTATTAACTTGGAATCTGAACCCCATCAACCTGATCATCGCTGGAGACTTTAACTGTGTACAAAGTCTTCTTCTCGATCGTGCTGGACATCACCGTTCCAACAGGTCGGAAAGTCCTGCCTTAGACACCGTCATCTCTCGGATCGGTTTGGCAGATGCTAGAGTGCTGCGGGATCATGCGGATGACGACACAACTGACGATTTTGTGGATCATTTCATACATATAGTGGGTGAACGAGCCAGCCGAATTGATCGATTTAATGTCCCTGCTATTTGGGTGGACAGAGTCCAGTGGGTTGAGGCGCGTGTACCTTTTCAAAATTCGGATCATCAGGAGGTGGTTCTGTGTTTAAGGGATACGAGCAGGCCTCGTCGACATTTACGGAGTTGAGCATTGGCTTACCCAATTCAATCACCTCGTCCCGCCCAAGTGATCGACGAATTAGTCCAGGATATGGATGGCATGGCTATTGGTCAAGCTGCATCTGCGCTTACTTGGGACATTGAGGTGGCCGAGTGCAAACGCTGCATTCGCCGTGTAAGCAAGCGGGTGAAGCAGCGCCGTGCACGGCTCCGCCATAACTCAAAGCACCGCACACAAAGGCAACTGTTCAATCGGCGGGGGGCATCAAGCAACATAGAAGACTTACGGCAAGAGCATCTTGTACGGCTAGGCCAAACCTCGTCAGATCGACAGACCGGTTAAGATGGATATACAACCGAGTGTCCGATTGGGAGCGTGACCAGCACGCCACAACCATCCTACAACAGTACGGTCCAGCATTCACCAGAAACATGTCCATAGCGGACAAATTCGCATCCGAGTGGTCGTCAGTACTCGGTTTCATTTATCGAAAACAGCCTCTTCACGGCCTCAACGCGGCCATTCAGCAATTCGTACACATTCCGACAGAGCGAGTTATTTCGAAGGCAGCCAACGCGGCTCTCTTAGCTGAATTTTCTGAAGCCGAGGTCCTCACATCCATTGCAGGGCTCAGTCGCCGAAAATCCGCTGGTCCAGACGGTCTCAACAACGATTTTCTTATGGATACGACGGCTCTGATGGTCCCCGCTTTTGTAATGTTTAGCAATGAAATAATGACTGGCGCGGAACCTCCACCCTCTTTTCTAGAGGCCCTGATCATACCACTGAGGAAAAAAGGCGATTCAGCGGATGCGATGGACTACCGGCCTATCGCCTTGCTCCAATCTAGCTACAAGATCTTTACTAAGGTATTAGCGACCCGATTACAACGGGTATTGCCCACAATTATTGGAGATTCGCAGCAAGGGTTCGTCCACGGCAGGCAGATGCACAAATTAGTGATGATGATGCTCTCTCATTTAGCGACGGCTACCATGGACGACACCCTGACAGCCATTAATAGCAGGGTCATTCTCTTGCTGGACTTTCGCATGGCCTATGACACTGTGGACATGGAATCTCTCTACGAGGCTCTAACGAGATTTGGCTTTTCGGAGCGATACGTACAGCTGATCCGTCGGCTTCATACAGGAACCACGGCGACCTTTTTAGTCAACGGAGAAAAATCCGACCCATTCTCAGTGGTATCGGGTATTCGTCAAGGCTGCCCTCTCGCTCCTCTGCTTTTTCCAATTGTAGTAGAGTTACTGGGCATCGCGATTCAACAATCGCCCGTCTTGCGAGGACTTCCGGTACCAGGGGGCACAGGGGGTCTGCACACGTTTTCAGCGTTTGTCGATGACTCAACGATTTTCCTAGATAAAGCGTGTCAGCTTGACCAGGCGCTCCAAATAGTTTCTCACTTTGGAAGTATATCTGGGCTGGTCGCTCAGCCGGCCAAGAGTAAGCTGATTTTTCTCAACAAAGGGGTGCGCGTACAGACGTTTTGTGGCATATCAGTCCTTCAACCTGTGGATACAGTGCGGTACTTGGGCTATGAAGTGAGTACTTGGGCTATGAAGTGGGTACTGGCGACCTATAACATCGTAATTGGGCGCTTCGCATCAGGAAGCATCAACGGCGATTATTCACGGCCTCCACGATTGCTACAAGCGTAGAGAATCGCGTGATGGTATTGAATTCCATTATCCTACCGGCGATTCTGTTCACGGCTGCGGTTTTCGACATTCCTGACTGGGCGATCGGGGACGTACATAATTTGTACAAACAATTTTTGTGGGCACACGCTACCACCACAGAAGCGTGCCGTCACAAGATTAATCCGGGTCTCCTCTTTTCTCCAACTAAGGCCGGAAGAGTAGGGCTCGCATCGTTCGAGGTTGCTATTAAAACACAGCGCACCGAACACGCTCTCCGGTGGCTCACGCAAGCTCAAGACAAGTATTTTGGAGCGTGGCGTTTTTGGGCTTATCAGGGTCAGCCTACTACTTCAGCACTTGTTTCGCACAAACGGCCGCGGTCAGGGGGGTGGTCAACCTCTTTGTCAAAGCCTTCAAAAACTTCATTCATAGCGGATATCGACAAGCTCCTGGAGCCTACAGACGACCAATTATGCCTGTTCGGGGATCGGGTATGTGCGTACACACCAAGCCTACTCGCCGGTGCAGGTAGCTGGTGGGAAGAGGATGATTGGGTTTTGTCTTATTACTCGACCTTTCCTGAAGCATTATCACACACGGATCCTCACTTGAAATCTATTCACCAATTCTGGGGGTCGCTTGGATGGTGCAAGAATCCATATATCCGGGATGCACGGGGCAGGCAGTTGCTCGGCTCTACGTATGACCGAATTGTTCCCTGCTCCATCTCGGACTTGCGTATTAGGCGGACGGGGCCGTCCGGGTTTGTCTTCAGCATACCACTGTCCGGACAGTACGTTACCAACCATTCGCACCCCAAGTTACGACGATGGGCAACGGCGATATTGCTGGCATCCCCACCTTTTCGGATCGGGACTGATTTAGCGCTCCAGCCTCGATTAACAATTCGGCACGTTCCTCCTTTTCGGCATGACTATGACTGGTCCACAGAATGCCGGGGTCGTATATCTGGAGTGAGAAGGGGTCACAAGGTCCCAGAGGAAGCTAGGATCCGCCTGACGCAGGAGGCCGACGAGTTTCTCTGGTTCTTCACTACAACGTTTCCAGAACTAGAGATGGAAAGTGAAGTGGAAAGGGCAACATGGCTTGAACAACTTCAGCAGCACGGCGTAGTGTTTTACGCTCATCCTCGACATCATCGGTTTCCTTGGGCGGTCGCAGATGCGGTGTCAAATGCATCCATTCGCACATTAATTTCCCGCCTGTCGTTTAAGCTTCACAAACGTCAGCCCGCTGTGGCATTAAGACCACTGATGCAGCGCCTGGAAGCTGCCACCATAACGGACTAATGGCAGCGAGCTGTAGCGCATCAGCGACCGTCTCAAGTTTGGGACCATGCACATGGGCTCATAGAATACCAGGTGTGGACTTGCTATCGTATAACAACCAAGCAACTCAACCTTTACCATGAGAATCGTAACGACGACAATAGCTGCCGTGCACATCAAGCATGTCGAGGGGTTCAAGAAACACTGGCTCACATATTCTGGGATTGCCCGAAGGCGCGTTCGTGTTGGGCAAAATTAATTGGTCATTGGACCAGTGAAACTGTGGCAGACCTGTTTGGTACTTGTATATATTTAGGCAGTGCCAATCGTCAAGCCCCAGCTATCTCACCACGGCTGCAACACCGGTTGCATAAAAGATTCACGGATGACGCAGCGGCTGGGGTCCGCGTCTGGAAACGGATTTGGTTTCTCATGAGTACCATGTGCCTCATTCACTTATGGCAGGAGCGAAATGATGCGGTAGTAGGGGTGTGGTGACCAAGGCATCGCATAGTGTCTCCCGTTTTTGGGAGACAGGGATACGTCAACTCTTCGCGCTGGCTAAACGTGAGCATCGGGGTATCGGTACCGTCGTCCAAGGGGCTCTCTTGCATGCCGGCATCGAACTTTTTACCCAAAGACCCCGAGACATCGGGGCTCCTCCGGGTAACACGAAACTCTTCCGGATATGGACTTGATTTCCTGGCTCAGGAGTTTTCAGACATCTTGTACATAATCACATGTTAATAGACAGTCATGAAATCTCTCTCTCCCAAGTGATTTTTATAGCCAGGTTTTTATGGTCATGTAGTAAAACCCGCGCAGCCTGCGATCTTTTAAAATCAGGTTTTATCAGGTTTTATTCCCGGATAATCGCGTGACTCACGCACAACCCGGCCGCCGGTCCCTGCAACTGCAAGGAAGCCAACAGACATAATTTATCGTCAGCATATTAGCAAACTTAGCACGCTTTAGCCGTACCTACTACTATGTCGCAATTGTCGTTTTCTTCAAGCAAGTTTGACGATCATGTCGATAACATCAACGACGACGTCCTCGACCTTCAGTAGCGAGACGCACAGGTCACCATGCTGGACTTCAGAATGGTCGTTGTTAATGACGTTAAAATGGAAGTCCGAGCACTGCAAAAGAAATGAGGTTGCTCGGCTAGAGTAGTCTGGAACTGGTCTACCAATGATGCTTATCCACTTGATGCCAAGAGTGCCGAATGCATGCACTTGAAGACTCTTAGTAATCACCGTAAGAAAAGCAAACGCGCTAATGCACACATCAACTCTTGTGTGTTATCGGAGTGAGACTGCCAAGAGGTACCTGCTTAGCTGGAGAAAGTCTTGTTAAGTACGCGACGAGCCTTGCGATTCACTCGATGAAACACAAGCGCAAACCATTGGCATTGAGTGGACCGAGTTCATGATTGTGGCGATAATTGTAACGGGGCACCCTGAAGCTTGCACTGATGACAGTTTAAGCTACTTAATCTGACGACAGAATAAGGCGGTGCCTCGTAACTTCACGTACACTCGTACGTGCAGAGGAAGACGGTAAGGAGAAGCGAGTGCTTGGTTAAAGTAAAAAGTAGAACTGTATTTATCATAGTTAATGTCTGTTAATAAATCACTATTCATCCTCATCTAACTATGTCTGAATACAAATGTGCATATCAACTATCTGCTCACCACTCATTGCGTGCGTCTGTCGTGGCGCGTCTTCGTTCGTTGATATAATGGCCTATATCAACCAATTAGGAACTACTCGAAAGTGCTGCAGAATATTTGTCCTGATGACAAAATTCTGAGAATGTAACTCTTGTAGTTATATTCTATGAACAATTTCTTATAAATTGTTATGTAACGGTTCACCCCGTTACATCACCCCCCCTTAACCATCAGTCACTTTAGTGACTGATTGACTAAATGGATACTCGTACCAAATCGTTCGGGACAGGGTTTGCACTTTTGTTGGAACGAGTCCACTTTCCAACATCTCATCGCATGGATAACAAGTCCATGCGGTGCGCGAACAAGGCCGCTGAGAGCGTTTCTGCACGTCTCTGTTCAGACGCCGAAGCAGAATCCGATGCAACCGATGTGCCATCGGTTGCTATAACGTCTCAGTCTGTATCACCTGGTGATGCAGATGCTCGTCATGAAGACACTCATGTCTTCACAGAGTATGAGCTCGGTGTCTAGTACTCTTCTGATACGGAAGAGGGATCCGTATCGAAGGCGGTTGAAACCAAGCCGCCTGCCAAGTGTGGCATGGATGATGCTACGCGTCGTAGCATCTTTGGTTCATTTGACGAATCAGATGGACCATCGCCGAAGCGAAGGCGCTCGAGGTCGCAAGACTCGGGCGCTCACAGTGGTGTCGGTTCTCCTATGGACACCACTTCGCAACGAGGTGCCAGTACATCTGTCGGCACGTCGCAGGAAGAGCGGGACCGCAGCGTGTTGCGTTTTGCTCCTGAAAAAAACCATGGCTGCCTCCAAAGGCAGTCATGGATCGCTTGTCGGCGACGACAATTGATCGCTATCGAACACGATTGTTTGATTCGTCAAGGATCCATCACCTTGAACCCTAGTGCGAAAAACTATCACGCTGAGAATGAATTATTCATCGATGCTTTCTTTAGACATCGATGGTACAGTGGGAATCACAAACATGATGGTTCCTCACTGCTTCAAGCGTGGAACGCTTACATCCATAACCTTGAGGATGTAGGTCGTGACGCTTGGAACGACAAACTTATCAAAGCTCGTGATAAGTTTGAGAAAAGAAACCCGACAGGTGCACGCTATAAGCTGCATCGTCTGTGTAAGGAGGGTAAGTTACCCTGTCTTTCCTGGGGAGACCCGTTCCCTTGTTGTATAAACAACTCAGCGCGCGCACCTAAGGAGGCTTACCACCCTAATAGCCCGTGGTAGCGCGTACGTATCTCTACTGAGATGTACAAAGGGATTGACAACCTGAAATCCCTTTACGACCGTGCCGGAAAGACTATCTCTGGCGGTCCTTCTGCGGCACAGTATGTGCCGCGTCGTACTGCTCAACCAGACCCAGTACGTCAACCATCAGTTGGGAGCGGGGCTCCCAAGTATCCCAGGACGGGGGATAACCGCGCCACCGGACGAGGTATCTCGTCCGACGTCCGTTCACGTCGCGGTGGTTCAACAGCAGCTCAACTAGATAGCGCTGGCCACCGCGAGAGTCCTCTAATGGAGGTGGAGGAGGAGGAAAGACGCTCTCCACACGATCATGTGGATCGGTGTGTTCCGAGAGCTTCTTTGATCGCGTAACGCAAGGGTTACGCAACGATATCGAACATGAGCGGAATAGGCGTCTCCAAATGGCGGACACTGTCTCGAAGCATCGAGATGAGTTTGCTTTTGCTCAGCTTGAGAACGAGAGAGCTCTGACGTCTCTGCGTGACGAGCTAAGGGTAGCTCGTGGGATTGCTGATCGGTCTCCGGCTGAGATAACTGCTCTTCAGACCCTTGTCGATGCCCACCATCGGGAGCACAAGGCTCTCTGTGAGATGCTTTAGCGCAAGGGCGTTCTTCGTCGGAAGAAGCAGCGTACTGATGGTACGGCTTAAGCCGACCAACGTAAAACGTGGGATTCGTTCGCATCTTACGTGGCAACTCGATCGTGTATGCATTGCTAGGCAATGCAATACACGAAATGGGCCGATTTACTTGGGTAGTAGTTTACTGCTACCCAAGTTAGTCACTACATGCTTTGGTAGATTAACCGTAGACAGTAGGACTAAGTCACCTTTATTAAATAAAAGAGTGTTTGCCCTTCCATTCTTGTCAGCGTTTTGCTTTTGCTTATCCACCGCTTCGGCGATGGAATCTTGCACAAAACGGACTACTGTTTCACGAGCCAGTATGAACTCACCTGATGACTCGTTATCTTCAGTGTGCTGTGAGCGCACTGCAGCGACAACAACCTTTTCTTCAGTGAGGGCTTCCGCACTCTCACTGGGATCATTGTCTTCAGTGAGGGCTTCCTCGCTCTCACTGGCATCATCATCTTCGATATCGATGTTGTCGATATCAACATTAAACGCAATGACCTCTTCGTCAGAGCGTGATGAGCGTGAACCAAATCAGTTTTTTCTCGCGCGAGTCCCCCCCCCCTTAAACCAGAGTTACACTCAAGTAAGGTGGGTACACGCGGATGGCGCAAGCCATTCACGTAAAACGGTGTATGTGTCGTGGACGCATGCACCGAGTTGTTGATGGCAAACTCTACCATTGGCAAGAACTCACTCCAACTCTTAAAGGAGTGTACGTATCCTCGAAGTATCTCTTCAAGGACACGATTGGCACGTTCCGTCTGACCATCTGACTCTGGATGATCAGATGTCGACATCTTCAAGCGCGTTCCGAGTGATTTGAACACAGAGCGCCAGAAATCAGCAGTGAAGCGTGGATCTCTGTCTGGAACGAGTTCACGGGGCAACCCATGAAGTCGGAAGATGGTGTCGATAAAGACACAAGCACAGCCACTTGCTGTGATTGACTCTGGTACAGCCACAAGGTGTACCATTTTGCTGAATCTGTCAGCAAATACGAGAATACCCGTATTCCCGCGTGCGTCTTCGGGTAGCCCGAAGACAAAATCCATTGAGATGGATTCCCAGCACTCAACCGGAACCGGTAGAGGCTGTAAAGGTGCACGCAGTGAAGGACTTGACTTCACTCGTTGGCAGAATTCGCATGCGCGAACGTACTTGCGCACAAACTGATACTGGCGGGGTCAGTAAAAGTCTCGACTTACCGTGAGATATGTTTTCTCCCGGCCACGACTTTCTCCTATAGGAGCATCGTGATACTCGAACATGATCCGCAAACGCAGATCAGTATCATCTGGAATGACAAAACGTGGTGTGTCACCAGAAACGGCTGTATAATACAGTAAACCGTTGCGAGTAGTGTATCGATCTGATGCAGGTCTATAAGCAGACGATAATCGTTTCAACGATTCTCGAGATGGCTGTGAGAGATGTGTCAACAACTTCACAATCTCACCATCTTGGGCGTATGCCCGCCTCACATCATCATGCAACGTTGAAGATGGTACTGAGGACGTCATAACCGCAACAGTGGCTGTCTCACTGTTGGTTTTCACGACTGGTTCAAAGTCGGGACGACTTGAGAGTGCATCAGCGACGACATTTAGTCGTCCTGGTTTGTACTCTACCGTAAAGTTGTATTATGCAAAGAATGACAACCACCGTGCCATTCGTTGTGAAAGGTGCAGGCTGTTTACTGCCGTGCGTAACGACGCATGGTCAGTGTAAACAATGAAGGGTCTATCTCCTAATAGATAGACTCTGAACTTCGCGAGTGCATACTTCATGGCAAGGAGTTCCTTGTCATGCACTGGATAGTTCCGCTCAGCTGGTTGCAGCTGACGCGACTGATAGCAGACGACGCATTCAACGCCTTCAAGGTCGTACTGCATTAATGCACAGCCGATCGCGAAATCGCTGGCATCACAGACCACATGAAATGGCCTGTCCTGATCAGCAATTGCGAGGACTGGGGATTGTATCAAGCTCTGCTTGATACCATCATAGGAGCGCTGACATTCAGCGTTCCATAACCACCTCTCGTTCTTTTTCAACAAACGAGAGAGGTGTACAGTCATCTCGGCGTAATTGCGTGAATACTTATGCAAATACGCCGCTAGCCCAAGGAATTTTCGAAGACCTTTGACGTCAACCGACACAGGCCAGTCGGTGATCGCCTTGATCTTTTCGGGATCAGGACGTACACCGTTCTTACCAACGATGCACCCAAGAAGTGGTATTTCGCTTGCTGCAAATATACACTTCTTGAGGTTTGTATACAATTGATGCTTTCGCATGATTGTAAGAACTTGTCGGACGTGGTACCTGTGAACCTCAACGTCCGACTTTCCATCCATAGCTCGACTATGGATGAATACGTCATCGAAATAACTCGGCGCGAATTCTCGCACTGGCCTCAACAGATGTGATACACATCTGTTGAACGTGGCAGGGGCATTACTAAGCCCTTGTGGCATTACTAGCCATTCCCAGAGCATGCCGCTAGGCGTGCTAACTGCGTTATAGGGTATATTTCGTTCTCGCATAAGGATTTGATAGAAGCCATCCATCAAATCCATGGACGAAAAGATGGTACTCTTTGACATACCATCAATGATTACGTCCTTCCTTGGTATCGGCGTCTGAGCCGGTACCATTGCAGCGTTCAACTTGTTAAATGCATGCACAATCCGCCACCCTCCTGTTGCTTTTTGCACACAGAAGGTCGGAGAGCTATGTGGGGAAGTTGATTCCCTCACATGGCCCGCAGCTAAACGATCGGCAAAGAACTTGTCGATCGCAAGTACTTGTTCACGAGGCAGTGGCCACTGCTTCATGACACAGTACTTCGAGCCTGGTTTAAGCTCGACCTCGTGTCGAATACCTTTATCCTTCAGTAATTCGCACGGAACAGTTTCAGGGAGTGCATCCTTGAATTCAACCAAATCTTCATAGAGAGGATTTGTCTTGAGCGATTCCCACGATTGGGAGTCATATCGCTCAACTCGTGTCTTTTCATCTAGGACACTCTCGTCCATAGATGAACTACTGAGAACTCTCTCGTTCTCAGTAAACACTGTTGCTGACCTTATGTCGGCTACACACTCGTCGTCAGCGACGAGTACGCAGATCTGCTTGACTTTGTCACTACGCAGATCACGCAAGAACCTTTTGTGTTCGAGCGTTGGCAACTGAGTGATCTCCGAAGTCAACTTCGGAGGCGCAATCAGATCAAGTGTATAAGCGCCTACACTTGATCCGTTATTGACTATGACATTCAATGTCTCTGTCATTTCCTGGGGACTTATTCCCTCAGGCTTCGAAGGACTTATTCCTTCGTCTTCCCGGGGACTTATTCCCGCGGGTTTCGGGGAACTTATTTCCGCCGTATTTGTAATCTTGGGACTTATTCCCTTTACTTCCTCTAGCTGGGGTTGCGCAACCACAGCGAGATCCTCTACGAAAGACTCTCCAGTCGATCTAGGATTATCGTTTCGCTTAACCTGAGCGATCGATTGTTTCTCTTCTAGATGTTCCCCGCTAGGGATACATCTTTGTCCCAGTCCACCCGACTTATTCGAGTGGTGGACCTTCGGCGCAGCCTGTGTTTCCTCACAGCCGCCGGAAGCTTGCCCCGAAGTGTAACCGTTTGGTACACTAAGGTTTTGTGCAGTCGTACTAACGACCGTACCACAAGTGAGGTCATCGCACTCACTCGTAGTGCATCCACACGCTTGTGGACGCTCCAAAACGTTCATCGGATGGCCATCTGATGAACAAGCGGCAGGCATCGTTACTGTTCGATATTGCCAGTTAACCCGTGGTTCGTACCTTCTGAGCCACGGTATTCCAAGGATGACATCAAATTTGTCATCCAAATCCAATACGATAAGGCATCGTCATATTGGGTATCTTCTAGCGTATAGTGAATCTTCACTATACGCTTCATGACGGTTACGGATGCGCCTGTCGCAAGACGTACCGTCATCCTCGTAGGAGGTGTGTCACATTCACTGAACTTAAAGTGACCATCTTCTAGCGATTGACGTTGCACAAAATTGGTGGACGCCCCACAATCGACTAGAGCTCGAAGGGACAACTTATTTGTCACTTCGAGTTTCAAGGAAATGAGTGAGATCTCATTACCTAGAGCAGCAACTCACAATGTTTGTGTGTTGGGAGCAACCTTCAGCAAGAGGCCTACAAATTCTCTTGACGTTGCTGGACCAGTAGGGTGCTCCGCACTTACTTTCCTGTCCGTTTTTTGACGGTCCATCCCGTTGTTGCGTCTTTGCACCAACAGCGTTCCTGCGTCCCTGCCCCTTCTCATGGGTGGACGGTCACTACGCCCAGTGTTGCGAGACACTGGACGAGGGGCACTACACTCGTAAGCGTAGTGTCCTGTCTTTTGACATCTGTTGCATCTCTGCAACCTCTTGTAGTCTGTAGAGCGAGCCTTCTCGCTCTCTACATAACAGAGTTCCATCGGCTCTGGACCTCCGTTGTCATATCGCCTCGGTTGACGATATGATGTCGAGCTGGCGCGAGCCTGTCTCAGACTGAAGTCTTCCTGCTCCGCAATGGAAATGGCTTATTCTAGTGAATCTAATTTAAGTCGGAACAGGTGAGTCTTGACGGGACCATCCGCAAGACCCTGCATGAACACCGCAACCAACGTGTGTTCATCAACCGGGTTGGAACTTATACAACTCGTGAGATGTCGTATATGTTGAGCGTAAGCGTGCACATCACGCTTACCCTGTTTGAGCTTCAAGAGTTCAGTTCGAGCTCTGAAATCAGCTCTAGGCGGTTCAAACGTTTGTCTGAGCCGCGACTTGAAGACTTCCAACGACCCAAACGCATATGGGTCGTGCAACTTAATCCCCAGTGCCCTTGTCTTGGCACGTCCTGCCAGATTTGACTGGGCAAATGCAACTTGCATTTCCCCATCGTCGATGCGACGC